CCCAGGCGGCCGCCGGGGTGCAGCCGGGACTCCCAGCTGGCAGCAGCCCCCCGGAGCTGAAGCCAGCTGCAGCCAGGAGGCTCCAAACAGCTGTGCAGGGCTCTGACATCAGCTCCGCACCACCACATGCAGGCGCGCCTTGGAGCAGGCGGTGAGGGAGAGGCCTAAGGCAGCACAGCCCTGGTGTCTCCCCCGCTCCTGGCACAGAGGTGGTGAGCCCAGCGCAGCTGTCTGTAGCCAGCCCAGGCTCTAGGCAGCTGCAGCAAGCAGCGGGCAGAGTGCAAACAGCTGCGCCAGGCTGCACAGCTCCAGCATCGGCACCTCAGGGCAGACAGCAGCAGTACAGCCCACCGCGAGGTGCCTGTGCAGTCACCACCAGCACGGAGCCGATGCCGGAGCTGTGCAGCCCGGCGCAGCTGGTTGCACTCTGTGCCCACTGCTTGCTGCAGGTGCCCAGAGCCCGGGCTGGCTACAAACAGCTGCGCCGGGCTCATCACCTCCATGCTGGGAGTGGGGGAGACACCAGGGCTGCATTGCCCTTGGGCCCCTCCCCCACCACCTGCTCCGAAGCATGCCTACACGCACTGGTGCAGAGCTGATGCCAGAGCCCAGCACAGCTGTTTAGAGCCTCCTAGCTGCAGCTGGCCCTGGCTCTGGGGAGCTGCTGCCAGCTAGAACCCTGGGCTGCTCCCAGCAGGCAGCTGGGATGCTGCAAGCCCTGCTAGGAGCAGCCCAGGCGCCGTCGCTGGCAGCAGCTACCCAGAGCCGGGGCTGGCCGCGGCATGCCAAGTAAAATGGCCTCGCGTGCCACATTCGGCACGCATGCCAGGGGTTGCCAACCCCTGGCCTACAGTATAGTACTTACTGACTTAAAGCAATGCTCTCAGCCTCTCATCAATAGGAAGTAGCCACTTGCTTAAATTAGCAAAAAGATATTTATCAACCCACAATAAGAGCTTTGTCCCAATACCTGTTGTCTGACACTACAGAAAATAAACAAAAGGAATAAAATAGTTATGCTTATTTTACTGTAGAAAACACTGGAGGGTTATACTGCTACCACATAACTAGCTTTTCAGGAAAAAGAAAGTTTAAAAAGTATAAAAGGAAGATGGAAGGTAAAAAAAACAAACAAAACAGTCTACAGAATTTGAGGAATTCCCTTCTTGAGCCAAAGGATGATTATAATGACAAATTAACACTATTTAAGATCAAAAGACGACATTGAGCTTTAACATTGTTCTCAGTTTAGTAATCAAAAACCATCTACATAAGCAAACAGTTTCATTTATTTGGAAGGCAATTAGTCAACCAAAAAATTGTAAGAATTGCAAGTTAGGTGCAACTGGGCTAGAAAACATTTTCTGCCATTACAAAGTATCAGATGGTTTAAGTAATCCAAAAATGTTACTTAAATCAGCCATATTGTTCAAAGCCTATTCTCCATGGCAACAGAGCTAAAGATAAATATCTAGTGAACAACCATCATTTTGATTCACTGTTTTCTTGAATCATATTGGAATAAGTATGTACACAGAAAGGGGGTTGGGGAAGAGGGGTATGACAATGAGGCCTAGAACTCGCATCTAGGGATTATATCAACATTTGAATCCAGGCAAAGCGTACTTCCCATAAAAGTTGAAGCTTTCTGTTTTTAGCTGACTTATGAACACATCTCAGTCTTTTTGCCTCCTCCTTATGGTAGAAAATACCAAACTCCAAAGGGGGGTAGGGGGATACAATTAAGTTCCTAGGCCCATCTAGAAACAAATGGGAGTTGAGGGGATATGAAGTCAAGAGAAAGCTACTTGTGTCTGGTATCTTTCCAAGAACAAGCAAAAACAATGGGTCAAAGCTTATTACAACACCACAAAACAGACAAGAATGCAGTTGGAAGGTATTGTGCAGCTGGAACATTATACTTAACTACATGAATTTTGAAAAACAAAGATAGACTTGTATTCAAAGGCTACGCATTAGAGCGGTGTCAAAATGATCAGTTTCTAAAAATCATCCTTAAAAGAAATTATGAAAGGAAAATATGGCTTCAGCTTACATACAGGCATAGATATTCTAGTGAATAAATACTATAAGACGTAGAGGTGCACAGATATTAAAAACAGTCCATATTGTATTGGCACTGAAAAAAGGAAAATTGACTGTGTCAGCAATTGGCTTTTTTTCACCAATGTAGTCGATTATGTCACCAATAAATACCGCATGAATGTGCACGGCCACAGCATGCACAGCCAGAAATGCAGCCCGGCAGCTTAGAAACTAGTGTCTGGCCTGTATGTCTGTAGGGGTGGGGGGAAGAGAAAGGGGTCACCTACAGCTCCATCCTTCACCCTGCACCAGCTGGGTGGCACCTGCCCCTGCCACAGCCCCTCTCTCCCACTCACTATGAGGGCCTCTATCTGCCCGCCCCCCCGCACACACAACCCTCCACGCCCCCCACAGACTTACCAGCCAGACACTGCTCTCCAAGCTGCGGGTTTGCATACTGGCTATCAGATCAGTATCAGCCAATATGGCTAGTTAATTGGCCATCAGTATCAGCCAAAAAAAAAAAAAAAAAAAAAAAAAAAAAAAAAAAAAAAAAAAAAAAAAAAAATAAAAGTTTAACAGTGCACCCCTAATAAAATGCTAGAAGCCAAAAACTAACTGGCATAAAGCAGATATGCATCCAAAAATCTTTACTATTGTTTTCTCCAGGGCAATAAAGGAAGTTTGCTATACAAAGATCTCCTAAAAGGAGACAAATCTGAACATCTAACTTTTTCTATTTTTGTAGAAATATAGAAGAGAGTTTATTTAACACACTGCTTTACACACATGCATCTTGGACTTCTGTATCATTTATGCATGCTTTTTGTACCAGAAGAATACACTTCATATAGTATGGAAAAGATTAATGTGACAAATTAATTCATGAAGAAAAATAATATAAATTTAGGGTCTCCAAATTTCACCCTAACTTGTGCATATTAAACTATCACGAGTCATAAAGTGCATTTCAGGTCTGAGACAATGCCTATAAATATCAGGAAATATGTGGTCTGAAGGATGTCTGCTGACTGCCTAACACATACTAATATGAATTCAGCCTCAAGGAGGCTAGATGAATGCTCAAGATGCAACAGCTCTGCTGTATACAGTACCCATTAAACGAAGCAAAAATACTGCAGTCTAGAGATACCAGAGCTAGCTAGCTTTAAGCCAACTAGCTCAGATATCATAAGCAGAGCAGGTACAGTACAGGTTAATTTACCCTGTCAAAAATAGTCACTGCTGTGCAGTGTAGCTGCTTATCGTATTATGGAAGCATGTGGTATGTTAAAAAACAAAAACAACACACTTTCTCTCCTTGTCTCTGAGCTGACAGCACCTGGTTGCCAGTGATGGCTGGCATTCCACCTGGGCAGTTACTTAATTTCCATATTTTTAGACATACACAAAAAACTTAGGTTTTGATAGAGGCAAGTGGTATCTAATACACAATTAACAGGTATTTTACTCTGATGAAATGGAAGTAGACAGAAGCACAACTACCCTCTGGGTACTTGGCCAAAGAATTGGTATAGTAATTTGAGGTAATGATCAACTGAAGGTAAAGCCAGTTATTGTACAGATATGTATATTCTGTTTAGTACTAAAAGGTTAGAAAGAAGAGATAGTATGTCAGGAGTCAGAATGTGATTACTGCTCAAACTTGGGAAGTGCTATAAATTGGTGCTTGGATAGGTTTGTAGTAGTAGCTTTTGGTAGGTTGTGCTTAAAAGGTTTTATATGCATGGTAAATTCAATATAAAAAAAACCCAACACTATAAATAATGCATACTTACCCACCCACAAAGCAGAGGATATAAAATGCGAAGTAAAATATAGCAAAGGGTCCAAACGTGCCTAGAAAAAGCACAACACTAAGGCTTCCCCATCCCCATATGGAAAGCCTGGTCTGAAAGAAAAACAGAACAAGAATAATTAGCATAATATTCACATATTTCAAATATATAAATGTGTAGCATTTATGGGATTCTAAAATGTTTTAGATTTTCTTCATTAATTACTTCTTTCCATTTAATGTCATAGAATATTAGGATTGGAAGGGACCTCAGGAAGTCATCTAATCCAACCCCCTGCTCAAAGAAGGACCAGTGAGTGTTCTAGTTTTAGTCAGCTGTTAAAAGAAAAATGCTCAGTTCTGCAATTTTGATTACTGAATTTCAACTGTTACTAATTAAGTTTAGCCTATATCAATTTGACTAAGTTTATTTCAGCTATTTAGTTCCTTCCCCTCCTCACCCCCCCAATGCACACACTGCATACTCTGTTTCACTGCCACATTTTGGTCTTAGTCACTTCTACTCCCATTGTTTAAAAATGTATATTTCTTGTTTTATAAAACTTTATACCACTCCCTCCTCTGCTACAGATTGTTTTTCTTGATATGCCCTCTCCTGGAGCAAGGGAGTATATCCTTATGTCATGCCATAATTATCCTTTCATTTGTGCCCTAGCTTGTTACACAGCTACACAGTGCTGCCCTTCAGTTATTTAGAACAAAGCATGATGAACTTTCTCCCACTAGAAGGTACCGAATCGCTCATCAGTTGTATGTAGAGTTTTAAGCAGAGGAATTAAAGGGAAAAAATTCAAGTTAACTAAGCAGTTTTTACGTGACAGAAAGGAGATAACTAGATTTGAAAGTCACATCCAGACATGAGGCAATTATGAACAGCTAAACTATTCATACTAAACAATTATTTGTTTTAGTATTAGACTCAAGAACGTTCAGACGACAGAAATAGTATATCTTGCATAGAAAAAAAGATTTAAACATGGAATAGTCATGTCTGGAAATTGTTTTTAATGTGCAAATCATAACCTATGTACATTTTTAGTTAAAAACCAAGACCATAATATTTTTGCAGCAGAGTTAGCATTCCAGGTGCCTGGTGAGCACCACGTTTGTGTAAAGCACATGGCAAATTGTAGTCACTATGGCAACAGCACCTAGCAATATTTCTTTTATCATTCAAAATAGCTTTAGAAAAATTTAACACTTAATTGTATGCTATCAACCAGGGATACTTGCACCCTGTTTTGTCCATTCATCTGTAGGTTCAAGCCATAGAACACATTAGTTTTAACCTGAGGCTGTATTGTTAAACTGTGCCTTGTGCCACAACATGAAAAGCATATAAAAGTGTAATACAAATAAGTGATATTTAAATATCCATTAAAATTTGGATACACCTCACTTAATTCCCCCAAAGATGAAAATTTCTTGTACTCCAGCAAAAAAATATCAGTGATTTTGTATGAGTATTTCCCCGTTCTCCCCCCCAAAAATGTGTGTTAAGCAATCCTTGGCAGACATTTGTTCCTTTCAACATTTAGAGATTAACCTGACTAATATTTTATAAACCAAGACTGACTGTACTTAGTATTCACATATTAGTGAATTTATACTGGTCACAATGCTGAGGCAAGGATGTACATTCTCCATTTTTAGGAGAAACAACTTAAAGATACAAAAAAGCTAAGAAGAGGATTAAGACCCAAGTTACATTTTAAAATAACTGCAAGGTGATCTTTCTGTGCTATACAAAAAAAAATTACAAACCAATGCTGAGAGAGGCAGTAAGGTTTAGTTTTCTTAAGTTTTGCATACTAATCCACCTCCCTTGTCAAAAGACTTTCATTTCAGAAAGCAGTGTAAATAGCACAAAATATGAACAGGGACAGAAACCCAACATACACAAACACATGAGCAATTAGCATAAATACAAAGTTATACAGAATTAAATGTTCATTTTAGAGCATGACCAACATATCCCAGACACTTAAGTAATAAAGGGTAAGGTCCAATAGGAAATTGGGAGGAGGGTTGGCTGGGAAGGGGGACGACGCCAAAATCTTAATGCCTATTCAAATAAATACCCTATGCTGACAGTATTTCTGGTAAGGCATGCATCACCTTATGAATGTTTTAAGTAAGTTGGGAAGATGCTTTATGTAAAATTCAGTGAATAAACCTTCATTTTTCCATTCTGAAAAGTTCATCCTGAACAACAGAAAGATTTCTTTTGATCATAGTGATAACCAAAACGTTTTACACTGTAGCTTTAAGCCCTCAATATAAATTAAGACAATTCAAACTGGGAACGGTATTTGGATCAAACTATTTTATAGTGGCCCTGGCTTCAAAAAAAAACCACAAGAGCTAGGGTGCAGTATATCAAGGTAACTTTACTTCAGTACAGATTAGATTGAACTGTATTACAAAAAGCATTTTTTTAGGCCTGGTCACATGAGCCCCTAACATCTATAAATAAAATCAAATTAATGCCAAAAAACAAAAAAACAAACCAAAAAAAAAAAACAACACCCCACCAACACCACCACCACCACATACATACACACACACACAAGGAAGCCTAACAGGCCTCAAAGATCTTCCAACACTAAAGTCTCAGTTTACACCAAAGTTTTGGGTCTAATTTACCACTTATACTAGTAATCCCAGGTAGTATCACTTCAGACTCTTCCATGCAACTACCTGTGTGGAAGAGTAACATTAAGAAAATAATATTCTTTATGTGATTTGGTGCTTTGAAAACTAAAAGCAATCCAATAACTTCACTGTCACCCAGGTTTCCACAGAGAATAAGGAAAGATTAACCTAAGTCTTATGATGGAGCCATTAGATTTTTCTATTAGCAGAAACATGTTTCTAATTTAGGTATCTTTGATTAGACCAACAGAGTAGTTGGAAAAAAAATTCTTAGCAAGCTTTTGGGTGCAATCACCCTTCTTCAGGTATAGGGAGCTTGAAGAAGGGTGATTGTGCCTGAAAGCTTGCTAAGAACTCTCTCAACTACTCAGTTGGTCTAATAAAAGATAATCACATCTACTCAAAGAACCTTGCCTCCTTATGTCCTTAGACCAACATGGCTACAACCAAAAACCCAGTAATTTAGATATGAGAGAGACCTGGAGGTCTTGATAGACCATACAATGAACATGAGCCAAAAGTGCGATGCCACAGCTGGTAAAGCAAACATCTCATACAAGACTAAGGATGTTATCCTCCCACTTTACTGAGCCTTGGTGAGGCTGCAGTTGGAGTATTGTGTCCAGTTCTGGGCACCACACTTCAGGAAGGATGTGGAGAAGCTTGAGAGAGTCCAAAGGAGGGCTACATGTATGGTTACAGGTATGGAGAGAAGGCCATACAATGAGAGACATGGGTCTGTTCAGCCTGGAGAAGAGAAGACTCAGAGGACTTGGTGGCAGCCTATCAATATATAAAAGGGCACACACCAGGGACTGGGAGAATGTCTGTTCACCAGGGCTCCCCAGGGGAAGACTAGGACTAACAGTCCGTCATAAACTGCTAAGAGACCGCTTTGGATTAGAAATAAGGAAAAAACTTCTTTGCAACTCGAGTGTCCAGGATCTGGACGAGACTTGCCCCAGAAATGGTACAATCACCTACTCTGGATATCTTCAAAAAAAAAACAAAACACCTGGATGCTCACCTTGCTGGGGTCATTTGATCCCAGCAGTCTTTCCTGCCCAAGCGCAGGGGGGGCTGGACTTGATGATCTAACGAGGTCTCTTCCAGCCCCTAACGTCTATGAAATTCAGAAATATTACTTTTTAAACAAATTTATTTAGAACTCCATAGATCTGACATAACTTGACAACAACACAGCTAAGTATGGCTTTTTTCTTTCTGAAAGGAGTAAAAATATTTAGTTCCCAGGGAAGACTACTGCTTGAATGGGTATCTTCATATCTAACAAGATTCTAATAAACGTGAAATCCTTTTCTTCGTAAGAAGTTCAGACTGAAGTTAAAATGTCTTCATCAAGACTGGTTTTTAACAGGAAAGCATAACAGGCGTACGAGGCAAGCAATCCTTGCTTTTTCTGGGGCTCAAAATGGTGATGAAATATATAATTTAACTCCTTGATTAATATATGATAAGGGAAAATATTTTATAGCTTATATAGATAAAAGTCTATTAAAGTGCATTACCTTTCAAATGCTAACAGATACTTATGCTGGGTGGCATTTAAAATTAAAAAAAAAAACAACAAAGAAAACACCACATAAGTGTATGTGTAACATCACATCGCCTGTTATATTAACCTTTTATTGAATTCAAACATACATTCCAGTTGTATGTATTTGAGAATAATGTTTATATTCAGAAAATAAAGTGGTCAAACACCATTTATGCAAAACTTTCTTGGGAGATGCAAGATAAATTTGTTCACACACTGGTTTTGTTAGTTTAGCATAGGGGTGCAAAGTCCAATCTCATTAAACATTTTAATAGGATTTCTTAAGACTAAAAACTAACTGAAAAAACTACACAGTTCTCATTATTTGGTACCAATGTATTAAAATGGAGCAGAGATACTTACCCAAATTCTTCCAAACTTTATGAAATGGAGCATAGTCTTGTGGATTTCTAGCTACTCAAAGAAGCTAGTCATTAGAAGGGTACGATTTAGGGTTCTGATAAAAGAAATGCCGCAGAACATTGTTTTAAATAAATAGCTGTAGCACTGACTTGCAACAACACAAAACCACAAGATCTTCATTTATACTTTTTTTTAAAACAAAAACAAATCAGCTACTAGAAATTAAGTGGTAAGACCCAAAACACCATATAATCAGACTGGAGTAACATTAAGGCTACGGACAGAAGTTGCACATAAATCAGTTTAAATGTGTAACAGAACAGAAGCTCCATGCACATAAACCAGTTTCAAAATGGTTGAAACTGGTTTAAGATACTACATTCAACCAGGTTTATCTGACTTAACTGATTTGACTCAAATCAGTTCATGATATTTCTGTCTCAGACTCCTTCCTGGTTCAAGTTAAAAAAAAAAAAAAAAGTCACAGTCCCTCAGCAGGGGCAGTTTTCTTCTTCTT